ATAAAAACTTGGAAAAGAATTTATCTGTAATATGTTTCGTATATTACGTATGTGTACATCGTAAATATATATTCTTTTTTTATTTTTTCGGCGGGGAATGGGGGGGGGGGTGGAGTAGGAGGAGGAGGATGAAATTGAATATCGCGTCGGATTAATTTGCTTTAAAAATAAAAATTTTTATATATTTCGGTCGTTTATTTTTAGAATAATTTGTTATTTTAAAAAAATTAAATGAGGTGTGTATTTAAGATTCGGAAAAATTGATAATTTGTTTAAAAGGTCAAAGGTCATTATAATATTAAAATATCATTCGTTTAGTAGTATTTAAATTTGAAAATATAAGGTGATACTATCCAAAAAAAAAATCTTTGTTTGGTGTTAGCTATAACGATTTTTTTGTTTTTCTTTTATATTAGAGTTTCAAATGTAAAAAAAAAATTTAAAAGGAGAAAAATATTTAGCTACACGTATACGTTATGTGCACACAAACACGAAAAAAAAAAATTGTATTATTATTTCTAAAAATATAAACCGTAATACATACAATAACTTACTGTTGGTCGATAAGCAATTACAGCTACTATAAAAAATTTAGCTCCCAAGGTGGTCACGCAATGAAAAAAAAAAAGAAAAAAAAAAAAGAAAAAAGTCAGTTTTAAGGAAATGTATAAATATTTTCTTTTGACGTTTCTCAAGGCACTACAACTACATGTTGATAATCTTTTTTTTTTCTTTTAAACCTTAATTTATTATTTAAATTTTATATAAAAAAATGAGTTCTAAACTTGCACGTATACATCATATAAAAATTTTATTTTACGTAAAATAATGTGAAATAATTTCCTTAAATGTACTTGATAGGTTTTAATTTTAATCCCATTTAATATTATTCAATTCTCATCTATTGAAAAAAAAAACCGTTATTTTTTAAAAAAATATATATATATTTTATTAACTCGTTGAATTTGATTCGATAATAATAATAAAAATTAAATAATTTATTATATAAAAAGTAGTAAATTAATAATAATAATAATAATTTTTTTGGTCGTCGTCGTTTTATATTCGCCACTCTTCTGTTTATAATAATAAATAATTTTTAAATGAATTTTACATTATTCAGCAAAAATTTTTTTATTTTTTTTTTTTTAGAAATTTGCTTAGTCTTTTCTTATTTATTTTTCCGTTTATTGTTGTTATTACCTGCTTACTCGTATATTTATAAGTCGATATCGAATGATTTTAAATTTAATAAATATGTACATATATATATATTGGATTTTGTTGTTGAAATTTAAATTTAAATTTTTTTAAAAACTGAATTTAAAAATTTTATGAGTAAGAATTTTTTCCTGCTAAATCTCGCGCTTACATCATTTTTCTGATATTTTTTTTTTTTTTTACATTTATCTGACAGAAATGACCGATTACATACATATATTATTATTATTATTATTCTTTATTAACAATTTTACGTGTCATTGATTTTTATTAAATGGTATCATTTATCAACAATTATTAAATCATTTTCCGCATTTAAATACACCACGTTTGTACATAAAAAAAAAAAAAAAAAAAAAAAAACAAACGCCAATATTATTTTATTTAATAATTTTTTTTTAATATAATAACTAGATAGATGGATAGATTCTCGTTTGTTTGTTTGTTTGTTTTTTAAATAAAAAAATTTAAAAAGATTTTTTTTTTTTTTTTGTAAATGCATTTTTGATCGTTTAAAAAAAAAAAAAAAAAACGTTTCAAAGTTTTTTATAAACTATTTTATTTATTTATTTTTTAAGTCCCGCATATATTTTTTTTTCAAATTCTAAAAGGAAAAAAAAGGCACGTGAGTTTTCCCGGTATACGTTGAAATGCACCAAAGGGCACTGTTTTTTTTACTTATTTATTTATTTATTTATAAAATAAAAGGATACTGGGCACAAATGTAAAAAAAGGTTTTCTTTACTAATCTATGCTACTATTTTCCCCTCATTTCTTTTAAAAAAAGAAAAGAATAAAGTGAAACAAACACATTTGGTACCATTCACAATTGGTTGTAATGAAAGTTTTATGTATCGATTTATTGTTCATTTTTTTTTTTATTTTTTATTTATTTTTATGTGAAAATTTTTTGTTTAAAAAATTCTATTTAGTTAATATTTTTAGTCAATTATATATTTTGTCATTAATTTATTTTAAATCTCGTTTTGAAATCCCCATTTTTCTTTTCTTTTTTTTTTCTAGTGTTTATTTTAAGTGTTTTTTTTTTTAATTTATAATTTTTATTTTTAACTTTATGTAATTTTATTATTATTATTAATAATAATTGAATGGCGCGTTTTGAATTTTTTACATAGAGAAAAGTAAAGCATTGAACTTTATTGTTTTTTTTGACTAATTTGGATAAAAATATACTAAAGCCTGTTTTCAAATTTGAAAAGATAATAATAATTTTTTATTTTTATTTTTGTACGAATACGGGTAAAGAATTCAAAGGTGTGTTTCTTTTTTAATCGTAGAATTTGAAGAAAATAGATATCTTTTTTCTTCTTCTTCTTCTTCTTCTTATATTTAAATTTACTAACTAACACGTCATGCTTATATAATAAATTATATTTACTGGGGGGGGGGGAAAAGAAAAAAAATTTATTTATTAACAGTTTTTTTTTCTTTTTTTATAGTATTTTTATTGTATATACCTTTGTTATGGTTTTTATTACTATTTCATTTTGCAATTATTAAAAAATGGAGAGAAAAAGAAAAGAAAAGGAAAGAAAGAAAAAATTTTATTCGAGTTTTATTAATTGAAAAGAAAAATGGAATAAATTCACAAGGGGAGTCATTGTTGTTAAAAAAAAAATTTTTTTTATTGTATTTTATTTTGAATTTCTTCATCTATATGACGATTTATATTTTTTTTCGCGTAATCGTGTGTAGTACATAAGCAAAAAGAAAAAATGGTTGAAATGGTTAGCTTTTAAATCAACATCATTCGTAAATTTCATTTAAAATAAATAAATAAATAAAATTATTGAAATTGAATTATTAATTTATATAGTGTTAATAGAAAAATTATCATTGTGTTAACTGCCAATTTTGTTTTCAACTAAGTTTTTCACATCATAAGGATAGAAAAAAAAAAAAAAAATATTTTTTATAGCTCGTCTGTAAATGGGATGAGAACACGTGATTATTATTATAGAGCCAATATAATCGATAGCGTCATCATTTATAATAGGAACGAACATTCGGACAGACCTTTGGCGAACATTTTTTTCTTGGCGAACTCGTCGATTGATTGTCCTCCTTTTTTCCTCCTTTTTCTCTCTCTCTCTCTCTCTCTCTCTCTCTCTCTTTCTATCGTCTCTCGATACCCGGACTATGACTTCTTAGAAGTGTTGATGAATTTTTTTTTGTATAAATTTTAAATTGTGAGGTGGTATTTTACATTGCTATATATATAAATGATATAATCCGAATGAATTTTAAAGAGGGGCACGCCATTTTATTATTGAGCCTAAAGAGTTGAGAGTTTGGACAATTTTTTTAAAATTTTTTTAATGACACTACTTGTTTTAAACATGATGATGATAAATTAAAATTGACAAAAAAGGGTTGAACCTTAAAAATAATCAGATTATTCTATCGATAAAGATAAAAAAAATAATAAATTTTGTATTTTTTTGACAGTTTCGTATTTAAATAATAATTGTGGAGGCATTCTATTATTATTATTATTAAATAAAGGAAATACATTCAATATAAAAATAATTTTTTTTATATTTGTGACAAAAAAAAATTGCAAATTTTTATTGATTATTTATCACAAAAAAATTAGTTTAAAATGTACGACGATGATGATGATGATGGTCAAAACTCTATTATAGAATTTATTTTATATAGTGTGTGCGTGTGTGTGGGCGCGTGCGTG